TGTGGCATTACGTTAACCTCCTTGGGCACAAGTGAGCTTCCAAGGGCAGGGACTGTGTCTTCTCCTCCTGCCCCCTCACTGCCGAGCTGAGTAACCAACGGGGGGAGTCTAGTAACCATCATGTCGCTCCTGTAATTGTACATTAATGATACCAAAATAAAACAAATAAAAAAAAAGGAAGATGGAGAGGCACTTGTGCATGGCGGGGGCCTTGAGTCAAGGGTGTGACTTGTGACTTGTGACTCTAATCCTGTTTCGGCAAGTGCCCATCCCGGAGAAAACACCGCCAGGGCTCATCAGGGATGGAGAATTCAAAGACAGCCATTCTTTGCAGCGAGACATCTCTTTTGTCCCAACAGCAATTTTTAAGTTGAATATACTACCTAAATCAGATTCAAAGGCCCACTATCTTCCCCTCACCCACTGGCTAATGCATATTTCATTCAATATTCCATCATTCAGTGTTTATGAAGGACTTACTACAAATGAGGCGCCATGCTCTGTGCATTCATGCCATCCTGCAGCCTTCATAATGACTTAGGAGGTACATATCACTCAACCCATTTTCAGATGAGTTAGATTGAGGCATACACAGGCAGTAAATTACAGAGAACTATTTAATTTAACAGCTTTTGTTTTCCAGTCTCATGCTCTATTGTTTATAGCAGGGGCACCCAGACTTTTGGAATTCACAGACCAGTAACATTTCAAAAATGATTTTTGGGAACAAACACAGAAACCTATGCCAACTTTTTATTTGGCCAAGGACTCAAAAAATACAATCTCCTAGCACTACGATTTCATGAAAGGGCATTTTAACACAGAAAATGTGGCAAGGATATGTTAGAATAAAGGCAGCCTTCTAAGAAAGGACAGTTTTCCAACCTTACCCTAAAATATCCTAAATTGAGGGCTCAGGGCTCTCTCTTTTTAAATTTCAAGCTGAACTGGCAAAACCTTGGCACTACATGGTGTGGGAGCTACTACCCTACCCCAGAGTGGCCTCTTTAAGCAAGAACAATGCCCTCCACCTGTAAATAAACTCCCAGGATTTCCTGTCCCTCTCTGCTCATCCAGATCCCATCAAGTAAGGCCTCAGGTTGATATGTAATAATCAGCTACGACTCCACCCCACTCCCGGCAGGTCTTCTGAACCCCACTGACATTCAGTATCCCTCCCAGGAAAGGAAGCCTATCCTCCTCAGCCCCTTCTCCGTAGACCAGATCTTTTCTGGGTGTGCATTCTGGGAATATCAAGGGCCCCCTGCAGCCCTGCAGAAGCACATCTGGCTCCCAGCGGTACACAGTCCCCACCAAAGCTGACAGCCACAGGTCTTCTCTCCATCTCAGTCAAGAGGCAGGGCCTTCCCCTTGCTGGGGTCCCCAGGTCCTGGCTACTGTGGTACCAGACTAACCAGAGTGGACCCTAGGCTTTTTAGGCAGCTCTGGAAAGGAGAGTGGGGAGACCTGGGTGAAGCACTAGGGAGAGCACAGAACGTACTGCATCCTTCTCCTTTCTCTGCTTCAGCTGTGCCAGACTCAGAACTGCCTCTCTGTCCTGCACCTGTGTCTGCCCGCCCCCCACCACCACCTGGGTGAGTCAGCTGGGCAGCAGAGAAGAGCCTGGCCTGGGCAGCCCTTGGCTGGAGTTCAAGCTCCACCATTTTCTTGCTGTGGGACATTTGGCAAGTCACTCAACTTCTCTGTGCTTTAGTTTTCTTGCTTGTGTATGCGAATAAGAATGTTAGGTTGAGCCATGTGAAACTGCAAAAATTTGATCATAGTTGGCCCACAAAAATTTCATGTGGTTTAACAAATGAAGTGTAAACTATAGAATTGGATATATGTCTGTCACTGCATCTGTCCCCTTCCTCCAGGAAGTCCTCCCTAGCTACACCAGCAAGGTCCTCATCCTCAAATCTCTCATTGGTTGAGGCATGATTTAGTACACACTCCTTTCCTGTCTTGTTTTCTCCTCTTTCCTGAGCATGAGTCTAGACTCCCCACAACTTGGAGCCCATTAAGGGCAAGACTTGGCTCTCCCTCTCTGTCCCCCAGACTTGCGGTGTGCCACAGCTGTCCTCCACTAAGGTTTTTACACAGAGGAGACAAGAGGCCACACCCCACCAGGGGTACTGCATGCTTACTTCAGCTAATGGTTCTTTCTACACCCAAGGTGGTCCTAGATGGTCCTGAATAGGTGGAGCTATCCCAACTGAGAGTAGGTGAGGTGCTGGAGGGGAGGAATTAAGGGGCCCTGTGACCTTGCCAACCTATGGCAGCAGCATCCCAACACACAGAGCCTTGGTGTGACCAAGGATATGTCCTCTCTCTACTTAGGGATCCCCTTCACAGCTAACTTCCAGGGTCTCCCACTTACATGCAGACTTGATATGTATTGATCTGCTCTCTGTCCACCCTTGTGCTGGAGCTGAGGTCCCCGAATTGAGTCAGATCTGTCTTACCCTCAGGGAGCACAGTCCTGAAGGCGACACAGACGGCACTGTGTAATCAATGCTCAGGTTGATAGTAGCTCATGCACCATGGGAAACAAAAGGGAAACATAGACAAGATTTCCGTGGCCACGGAAGGGTTTCTAGAGGAAAATATGCCCCTGCGGCGGGTCACTACGAAGAAGCCTGTTCGGGCTCACTTCCTGAAGCTGGGGTAGGGCAGAATCAGCTCCCAGGCTGTACACAGAAGCCCGCAGAAGTGTATTAAATGGATGTCTTTCCCCTGTGGCTGGCACACAGGGCGGCAGGGCTCACAGCTGGTTAAGAACACTCCTTCTCAAGGAGACCCAAGGACATTCAGGGATTAGGCCTCCCAGCATCTGTGCAGAGAACTGTCAGCTCAGAGCTGCTCAAAAGTAGAAATGCCAGCTAAGGGTGATGTCATTACCCTAATCATTCCCTCCCCATGGGAGGTCCTGTGGACCAGTGGGTAGAGCAGAAAGGCCCCTGCTAAGTTGTTCCCTCATCTCACTTCCGAAATTTCTGCTCTGAATGGAATGGGGGAGGTGGTCACAAGTGGGCTAAAAATGAGAATAAGAAATCTTTTGAAGAGAACTTCGTTATTCCTCAGAGAGAGGGCAGGGTGAGGGGACTCTTTGCCTCACCCCTGCGGGACTTGGCTGAAGATCCACATCAGCATTAACCCGACCCCACCCTTCCCTGCTCAGCGCTTCCCTCTGACGCCCCATCCCCACTCCTGCGCTAATCTGGGACAGTGGCCCTGGCAGGATCTGAGTAACCCCTTGGAGGCTCCCAGGCCAGAGAGAGGGGGGAAGGGGTGTGGCAGCCCAGCCTGTGTGGATGGTGGGGTGTGTGTGTGTGTGTATGTGTGTGTGTGTGTGTGTCAGACTGTCCCGTGGTGTTATAGAGAGGAGTGGAGCTATATCTCTGGCTGAGTTGGTGGAATTTGTCTGTAAGCCCGGAGACTGTACACGGAGACTGTACACAGCTGGATCACCGGCTGGCCTGGGGGTGGGGGTGGGGAGCGGATTCAAAGGGAGTGGGGGTTGTGCAGCTGCTTGGGGGTAGGGGTCCTGGGTGGAGCAGGAACATCCCTACCGTTGGTCCACAGAGGGGTGTCACACTTTGGATGGGAACGCAGGGAGAAGGTCCACAGCTAGCCCAAGAGTGCCAGGTAGCCAGTGAAACCCGCCTGCTGGCTCCCCGCTGCAACCCGCTGGACTCGGAAACCCCCTCGGAACCACCGGGCGAGGTGCGTGCGGGGATCGGCCCCGGGTCGGTGGCTGCAGCAGGCGCATATCCTCGAAGTTTTACCTCCAAGGGCTGGGTCTCACCTGCGCGCCCTCTGCCTCGCGGAGTTTCCCCCACGTCCCCTTTGCCCGGCGGCGGCGAGGTTCTGCGGAGGAAAGACCCGCGGGGTCTCGTCCCCGCCGGGGTCCCAGGAAAACCGCGGGAGCAGCCCCGACGCAGCGCGTTTCCCGGAAACCCCTCTGCAGACGCTTTGCGGGAAGGCCCGCGGCTCCGCGTCTAGGCTCCGCGTCCGCCGCCCAGACGAGGGTCGGAGACCCAGCTGAGAAGCAAAACCGCCGGGCAAAGGCTTAGCCGAGAGCTCGGAGAAGGACGGGTCGGGAAACCCCGCCCCGCCAATTTTGGGGTGGCGAATTCGCAGCCCAAGCTGGAACCCTAGACTTGCGGCGCGCTTCCAGCCCTTGGCCGAGAAAATTTATTTGAGAGTTTAGGATTCAGGACACCTCTCCCCCCATCCCCGAAGGTCCGGCTAGGGTCCGCCCTGCGCCCCCGCGCCGGGCCTGGCTCCCGATCCCCGGCCCGCACGCCGCTGCTCCTTTAAGAAGCCCAGGTAGGCAGGCCGGGCTGCGGGAGCCGCTCCTATGGCAACCCGCGAGCTGCGGCGGCTTCATGAATATTCCGGGGCGCGGGAGCCCGGCGCAGCCCGAGGGCGCTCCGGGGGAGGCGGCCACTGATGCAAGCCTGGAGGGCTGCTGGGCTCCTTTCGGCTGCAGCGGGAGTCCCGGGACGGACCGGCCGGGCTCAGCCGGAGGAGGCGAGGCGAGCTTGCGGGTGGCCGGGCACAGAGCCGGGGCGGCGGGACTGACTGACACCCCGCCTGCCCCCGGGACGCACGCCCGGGAGGCGCGCTGGCAGTGCGTTCTGCGCTCCGGAGCAGTTCTCCGAGCGCCGCGGCCACAGAGCCGCTTCGCCCCGCGCCCATTGTTCCCCGCCGGGGCGGGGCGCTTGGAGCAGCGCCGCGCTCCGCGCCCCCGAACGCGGGAGGGAGAGCGGGAGGGAGCGCGGGGTCCCCGCGCCCGGCCCGGCCCGGGAGGGGGCGCAGCGCGGCACGCCCGGCCGCCCGGAGCCGGACCGGGAGCCTCCCCAAGGCACGCAGCCTGCCCGGGCATGGGCGCCTGAGGCGGCCAGGCGTCCCCGCAGGCGGACCGCACGGCGGGCGGACCTGGAGCAGGTCAGCGGCGCCGCCCCAGTGCCCCTGCCCCCGGCCCGGCCCCGACCCCCGGCGCGATGGACAAGCTGCCGCCGTCCATGCGCAAGCGGCTCTACAGCCTCCCGCAGCAGGTGGGGGCCACGGCGCGCATCATGGACGAGGACGAGGACGCGGAGGAGGAGGGGGCTGGCGGCCGCCGCGACCCCGGCCGCAGGAGCATCCGGCTGCGGCCGCTGCCCTCGCCCTCGCCTTCGGCGGCCGCGGGCGGCACGGAGCCCAGGGGCGCGGCCCTCGGGGCGGCGGACGGCGAAGGGCCGGCCCGAGGCGCGGGCAAGTCCAGTACTAACGGCGACTGCAGGCGCTTCCGCGGGAGCCTGGCCTCGCTGGGCAGCAGGGGCGGCGGCGGCGGCGCCGGGAGCGGCGGCAGCCACGGGCACCTGCATGACTCCGCGGAGGAGCGGCGGCTCATCGCCGAGGGCGACGCGTCCCCCGGCGAGGACAGGGCGCCCCCAGGCCTGGCGGCGGAGCCTGAGCGTCCCGGCGCCGCGGCGCAGCCCGCAGCCTCGCCGCCGCCCCAGCGGGCGCCGCAGCCGGCCTCCTCCCCCAGCGAGCAGCCCGCGGCGGACACCGCTATTAAAGTGGAGGGAGGCACGGCCTCCGGCGACCAGATACTCCCCGAGGCCGAGGTGCGCCTGGGCCAGTCTGGCTTCATGCAGCGCCAGTTTGGGGCTATGCTGCAGCCCGGGGTCAACAAATTCTCCCTGAGGATGTTCGGCAGCCAGAAAGCAGTGGAGCGCGAGCAGGAGAGGGTTAAGTCGGCCGGGTTTTGGATTATCCACCCCTACAGCGACTTCAGGTAAGGGGCCAGACGGTGATCGTGAGGGTTCCCCGGCTGGTCGCAGGCTTACTTTCTCCCTCGGCGCTGTCTCTCAGCCAGAGTTAACTTTCCTTCCTTGAGCTGGAAGCACAGAGAGAAGTGGGGCACCTCTAGGCTGTGAGACACCCCCAGACCTCCTCCTGCACCGCGCTGGGAACTTTCCTCCGTGTTCCAGGCTGTAGTCCTCGTCCTCTTAGGGTCCGGACTCCATTAATAACGGGCTGGAAACGTGTTCTGTGCTTGATCTAGCCCTGCTGCCAGTCAAAATAAGGCTCTGCACCTTGAGCCATGCATCCCACCTCCTCGTTCTGGACTGCAGAGTCAAGTTGGCCATCATGAAGCCTGCAGAGCAAGGCTAGGAAGGGAGGCAGACCTCTTGGCAGCTGGACCAGCATCTTGGGTGCTGACCCCAGGCACTAGTATCTACGTCCTAGTGCCCTGGGAAGCCACAGCTGAGGAGGGAGAGCTGGGCCTCTAGAGGACTGAGGTCACTGGGATCTCAGATCCAGGATAAATGACCTCTGTACCCACCTTAACCCAGGGCCAGACCACTCATGCCAAGTGGTGGGCTAGGAGCAGCTGTCATCCCCACTGGCAGGACAGGATGACCTTGCTCCTAGTGGTCAGTGAGGATACCTGGTGTCCTAACTGATGAGCAGCTGTCCTGTGACCCCACGCTTGTCTAGGGCCTCATCCTTCCCTAGTGGCCCAAGCTCCAACAGCTGCTAGGTCCCATGAGTCAGTCATGGGACCCCAGACAAAGGGTGCGACTGTCAGTCAGGGAGAGAGACCTGGCATCTTCCCCATTACCTGAGTCAGACGCCACTAAACAGCAAGACTCTACTTTGGTATCTGTGCAAAAAGGAAGATTGGTGATTATCTCTGGAATTGGGATCAGAGATGCCCCTCCCAGTGAAGATCTTGGGATTCCCTTGGTGCCCCCTTGAACTTTCCTGATACACAGGATTGGAAGGTCTGAAAAATGTTCACCCTTTTGAGCTGGGTTTAATTCATTCTCTTTCTCTCTCTCTGGGCCCTGCCCCCTATTTAACTCCCTTCCCTGCCTACCCTGTTTGCCTGCCAATATAAATGAGTATTTTGCCAACCCAGAGCCCTCTTTGCAAACACCAGGGAAGCTAGGTTTGTAATGAGAGCAAAGCCATTTTCCATCCAATGAGAGAGATTTCTCGTCCTGGGGATGACCAGTCAGGCAACACCCGATGGCTTAAAATAGGTGGTGAACAGAGGGCTGCCCCTTTTCTTTTTTTGAAGGACTGCCCTTCCTAACCCTAGTGTCCAGGGTTCCCATTTCCAGGGCCTGTGGGAGGCCAGAGGACAGGCTAAACAGGCAGCTGTAATCTTTGAGTTGTACAAGCAAGTATGGAACCCTTCCATCAGGAGCTGTGGCTGGTTTCCAGTGCCAGGTTCCTAGAGTGTGACCTCACCTCTGGTCAGTACTAGGACCAGAGGAGACCAGCCTGAGCTAGGGAGGAGTGGGCAGGAGCTGTGTCTTCTGCACCCCCTGGATGTCCTGGGCTGTTTCTCTCTCTGCACTCCCTAGTGGTGGTGGCAGGTAGGCTATGCCAGTATCAACCGTTTGAAATTGTTGAGGGGCCCTCCCTTCCTTTGCTCCTTTCCTCGCTGCCCTTGTTGTCTGAAAGCCTCTTATATGAAAGGGTTCTCATCTCCAACCTGGTGGGGAGGGTGGGGGCGGCAGCTGCAAGGGGCCAACCCCAGGCATGCCTCAGCTCAAAGACATTGATGGAGCACCTTCTGGGACTGGGCCTAGCCTTCGCAGTCTTTCTGGTACTTTGGGTGGTGGAGGGTTGGAACTGGGCTGCTTGCATCAGTGGGAACCTCCCACCTTCCTGATCTTACTCTGCCCATCTTGGCATGTCTGTCTTCAGTCCGCATGCTGCAGAATCTCCCAGTAACTGCAGGCAGCTTGGGGCACAGCAGAGGGGGAGGGTGGTGGGGATAGGGAGGGATGGATGCAGCAGGGCGATGCAATGGGCAACAGGAAAAGGGTCATACTGGACTTTGAATTTGGGTTTGTACAACTAGCAACAGGGATGGCTAGCTGGAAGCACACATACTCTGTGGGCAGCCTTGTAGCTGTCTTGTGCTGGGTAGGGTATAAGGAAAGAAATCCAAGAAAGTGTGTGTGTGTGTGTGTGTGTGTGTGTATCCTCACAAGGTCAAAGAGGCAAGGGCCTGGCTAAGGGTTGTAAGCTTAGAAAACCCACCACTCAACCTGGCCTCCCCTGCACCCGGCACTCCAAGCCTCAGTCGCTCAACTTTTAGCTGCTGGCCTTGGGCCTCTGTGTGGAGCCAATCCCCACTGTCCAGCTCCGGCTTCACCAGAGTTTCTGCAAGCATTGCTCTGGCCAGTTGAGGATTTATTCATCATTTTGACGGGCAGAAAGCATTGATCCAGCAGAACTGGTTTAATAAAGAATAGCCAGCAAACCATGATAGACTGAGTTTGTGGTTTGGAGTCCAGGGCTTGCTGTCGTGGGCTACCTCTGGCACCCCCTGTTGGGTGCCTTTTCCAAGGACTGGAGTGGGCAGTGCTCTGAGGGACCCACGTAACCTGGGCCCTGTGTAATAAAGGCTTTTCTTGGCTGCCTCTGCTCCTTCTCACCCCATCCCCACAGCGCACACGCACATGCACACCATGTCCCGGCTGCCCCATGGCTCCTGGGGCCCCACGGGTCTGTCTGACCTCCCCTCCCCTCCCACTCTCTATTTACCTCTGGTTTGGTAAGGGAAGAGGCCAGGACCTGCAGCCCCTCAGGACATTGCTCCAACTCTGGCTGGGCTCTTAAGTCCTGGGTGAGTCCTTCCTTCCACGTGAGCCATGTCTTAGAAGCCAAGCATGGCAGTGGGAACCGGGAAAAAATAAAACATAGTATCTGTGTGATCCTGTTTTTCTAAGAGGAGAGAAAGAGGGAGACAGGGAGTGTGTGTCTGGAATGGTGGTGGTCATTGCCTCTCCTGTCTCTAGGCCAAAACATCTGGTCTCATCTTCATAAGGTCAAAGAGGCAAGGGCCTGGCTAAGGGTTGTAAGCTTAGAAAACCTGCCGCTCAACCTGGCCTCCCCTGCACCCGGCCTGCTGGTGAAGGCTTACCTGGTTTTGTTCCCAGAAGCTGGGCAGGCTTTCAAGCATGAGGCTCAAAGGGTTGGCCTGGGTGTGTGAATGTCTAGGTGTCTGTCTAAGCAGATGTCTTGGGGCAGCATGGGTGAGCACTGGGGCTGGCAGGGACCTCCCCTAAGTGGGATGGCAGTTCTGGGGCTACTCCTGTGCCCCAAACTCTACCATGGCCTTGAGAGTAGAGCAGGCGCGTGTTCAGCCCTTCTCGCCCTTCTGCCCCTTCCCTCTCCTAGCCTGAGCCTCCTGAAGCTAGGAAAGGAAGGGAGGGCCCTGACGTGTCCTTTCCCTGGGGCAGACACAGCTGGGCTCTAAAATCACTGGCTTCCTGTGCTGGTCCCCGGCCCCAGGCACTGCCGCCGCCCACCTCGCATCGCATCCCCAACCCTGTCTGCTACGGGGCCCTGTTTGGGTTTTGAGCCTTCCCTGAGCCTTAGTCTTTCCTTCTAGAAAGATGGGAATCCTGTTTCTCAGGTCAGATGCTAATTGTACAACTGTGGTCACCGTGTTGAGATAAGAAGCTCCGGTCACTGCCAGAGCCCAGTGGTGCTGTTGTGAACCACACTCCCCCTGCGGGCACTGCTTCTTTCCCTCGGGCCTGGTGGACCAGACAGGCCTCTGTGCTTTTCTCAGACAAGTGATTCTGAGACTACTGGACATCTCAGAACCTGCTGGCAAATACAGAGTCTCTTTCCAGAAAGCTACACATACATCCCAGAACATATAATATGACACTCAATTTCTGGGGTCTGTGGATCCCCCCTAAGACCATCTAGGTTGTAAACCCCACCCTAGGCAATCCCAGTAGAGAGGCCTGGCCTGGTAGAGGCAGGTGCTAGCCTCCTAGACACAGCCCTCCCTGGGGTCCTCTGTAATCTGAGGCTTGGGCCTCCCATTGCCCACATTCAGGAATGAAATAAAAATGGTGGCGGCAGAGGTGATGACGCAGACTTAGATGCCTAGAGAAGGAAAGGTACTCTTCCTGGGGACAGGTTACTTTTCTGTTTCCTCAGTTCCACACCCGTCTCTCCCCCTTTCAGACTGTCAGGTGAAGACGGTGAGGAGGGAGGGGGCAGCAGCCGGGCTCTGGGCCTGGCGGGCTCTGAGGCCCCTCCTTGGGTGGGCCTTCCTGGGGGCCATTGCCCAGGAATCCTGCTGCTATCATGAATCTTGATACTCTGTCTGCTGTAGTGTGGAAAGCCAGGCTGAAAGGAGCTGCAGGCCTGGGTGGCGCCAGGGGAGGGGGATGGGCACCTTGGTGCAAAGGGGAATTCCAAGGTGAGCCGCCTGGGCAGCGCTGTCGGCGGGCACAGTGGGCAGCAGGGTCCTCCGGCTGTGAGGCCATGCTCACCCCAGTGAGATGGGGGCTGGTGGAGAGTATGCTGAGAAGGCCGGCACCTGCCCCCAAGATGCTAGGGGTGCAGGGACCGCATGGGGCCTGGGGGCCAGGACCCTTATAGGGCCTGGCTGGGGAAGCCTGGGCCCCAGGCTTTCCCACTACAAGGCTTCAGTTCTTGGTCTGGCTGCTACATGACAGGCGGGGACCTTTCCCCTGCCCAGCCCTGTCCCGTTTGTTCCCGCAAGACTTTGTGGCTGTCAGCTGGCCTGCCTCCCACAGTGCTGGGCTGTCTGCCTGTCCATCTGCCCTTTCTCCCATGCTTGGGGCCCCCAGGCCTTGTGGGATGCCCTCTCAGGCCACTGCGGCCACCGCGATCCATCTCTCCCCTCCTGACGGCCTCGTGGCACTTGGGTGGAGCTCTGTGTCACAGTGCGGTGCTTCTCATGCTGACATGCCGTCCGGCTCACCTGGGGATCTTGTTAAAATA